ACATATATATGTACACATATATGATAGTCTGAATTCAGCTGCGGATAAATAAATTGTGAGCTTGTTCGCGTAAACTGGTTAAAAAACTAACTCAATAGTGATTCAGAAAATATCAAAAAAGTTTTAACAGCTAGTAGGATGTATTTATGGGATAATAATGAAAATTATGATGAGTAATATAGAATACTTCGGCATCTGATATAGCTAAAGTTATTATATCTAGAATGTATTAACGGGATATTAAAAAAAAAACACTCTGATAACTAATATAAGATATTTCATATAACTAGAGATAAGATTTGTATAATTAGAGATTTGCGTAAAGACATGTTGAGGAAAACAACTCCTTTGCCCTATATAATACCAACTTATTCATTTTGCTTAACAGTCTGCAGTTTGTGAGGTCTATTCAAATATGTTCAGCAATTAAAATAATTTATAACAGGCACGCTTCTCATATTTAGGAGAGCTCTAATTAAGCACTTCTCATATGCAAATGTATCTGTATCACATATACATATACATGCATCTAGATACAAAACCAAATCTGTGACACAATGCGTCGTGTTGCAAGTGAAAGTCATGAAAGCAAAAAAACAGCAACAACAACAAACACAACAACAACAACATCTGAGCCTTGTGCTCGCCGTCGTGAGTACGTGTAGAATGTCAAAACACAAAAGCGAAAATGTGCGCGATGTGCAGGCAACAGGAAGCGAGGCAGACATGGCGAAATCTCACACCACCCCCTGCCCACCCCTTGACTAGCCAACTCCACCCCAAGGCTTGCCCTGCCGCCCAACTAAACCTTAGTTGAGGATGAGGATGAGGATTGGCCAGCATTTAGAGCCAGCCGCATGTCGTAGCAGCAGGTTGGCCTTGCCAGCGAGCTGCTGCCACAACGGCACAGTGGGGCAGCAGGCAGCGGGGAGCGGGCAGCGGGGCATGTTGCATGCCTGGCAACCGTCAATGCAACCAGTTGGTTAGCACCGCATCCTATTGCCTGCCAGAGGACAGCTATGTGGCAGTTATGTTCGTTTGGGTCGGGGGCATTCAACTTGCAGCGCAAAAAGCAAAATAAAAAATAATTAAATGTGCCCCAAAATGCTTTTGAAGTTGTCAAAAGCCTGCGTTATGCGAGTTGACATACGTAGGACAGGGCCGAGACGGGGTGGTGGGGGGAGAACCATTCTAAAGCAAGCCCAAGCAACTTTTCTCTATGATCTGTAATTAAACGGGCTAGACTTTAAATTCATTTTGGTATTACACTAATTATCGTAAAGTTGAAATTGTATGAAAAACTTTCGTAAGACGCAGAGGGAAGCAGAAGAAAGATTAGGAATTAAAATTGATCTTAAAAAGTTGGAATTTTATAAAAAAAGGCAGAAGGAGATAGAAGAAACCTTTTTTTTTAAGGACATCAGACTAACAATTAGAATTGATTTCGATTTTTTGTGGAAATGCACCCAATTTTCTAATAAGATATAGAAACTAGTATTAAAAAACATATCTGGCAAAGAATTCCTAAATTTGTCTATACTATTATTTTAGTAAATATTTTATAATACGGATTTAGATATTTATGAATACTTCTAGATTTTGCCTTTATTGGAATTCTCTAAAACTCAATTTCGTGCAGAACTTTAAATTTAATAAATATTTTTTCTGCACTCCAAGTACATAAAACGTTCGACAACTTGTCCCACCCCCCGCCCATTGCCCCTCCACCCACCCGCGCAGCAGTTCCCTAATTTTGCTAGCGGCGAAACAAAAGAGAAAACCTTCGTTGCAAAAGAAAAAATAAACAATGTTACAATGTTTTCTGATGTTTTAGCCCAAAAAACTGGAGATTCCCCCCCCGCCCGCCCTTGGCTTTTAGCTGTGGGTAATGATATGTCACGTTTGCTCTAGACTTTGTTTTATATGTAGTCGCACTCAATGACACTGCAAGAAAAAATGTGGCAAAAAAATGAAAATAAAATGAAAATTTCGCAGCAGCTGCAATAAAATTAACGAAATGGCATGGAAAAGAATGTAGCCGAAAAAAAAACGAGAGAAAAAAAACGAATGAGGAATAAAAGAAAAGCACAAAATGTGCAATTTCTGAGTGGTTTTTTGGATGCGTCGCTTTGGGTGGGTGTTGGCGGTGGTTCGCTTTTTTATGCGGTGCTGCAGCTGCAGCTGCTGTTGCCAACTGCACACGCAGCGGAAATAAAGGAAAAAGCGCAAAGAAAATAAAAACTAAAAGACAGCAAGGAAAAAAGAGAAAAAAGAAAAGCGATGTATGTATATTAAAGCTGTCGTTAATGGCAGGCCTCACGCGTAGACCCACAGAAACCCGCTAGAATTTGTCGACACGTAGAAAATACCTGGAAAATAATCAGATACATTCTAACGCTGGCCAACGTAATGCTCAAAAGGCGAGCCTAGTCACGTAATTTGGCTAGCAATACAAAGACAAGGCATTACGCAGTTACTTTTCCAGTGATTCGTTAAGGCTTAAATTGACTAGTAAGACGCGCAAGTTTTAACAAGTGGCTTTAGTTAGAGCTTTTAATTTGTCTATTCTTATGTGTTAACTACTTAGGCTGTCATTCGTTCTGTCGATCATTAATAAATAAATAATAGGAATAGAAAACATTGAAGTTTTATAGAGTTTTTTCATAGTATAAAAGTAATTTAGTTAGTTTAGTTGAAATATCATTAATAAACAATAAAGGAATAAAGAAGAATGCCTTCTATTTTCATGCAATTGCCTTTAAAATACAACAAAAGCTGAAGTATATAATTCAAAGACATGAGAAACAAACAAGCATCAGGCACTGCCTGATGGTTTGGTGCCTTCTGCATGTTCTTCAGGTGCACAAGTGCTGCTGGGTGCACTCACTCACACACACACGCACGCACGCACACACACACGCACGCACTTATATAGCAATATAATTGCGCTCGTTTGGAAAGCAGGCGGACTTCCAACCATTTAAAATTGCAGCTACTTGCAGTGCGTGGGCGGCGGGCGTGGAAAAGAGCTATAATACCGACTGCAGACAGTCAGTCTCTTTCACACTTACGCACACACACTCACACACACACGCACCCACACACAGTTGAATGTGTGCAGACCACATTCGACGCTCCGTCATGTCAAAAGGATGCTGACTGACCAACCCCTTCCCAGTGTACGCGTCTACCCTTTCCGCTACGCCACTGCCTGCTGCTGCCATTTGCTGTTAAAATTGTATGGCGTCAACTGTACTTTTATGCACACACACACACACACACACTCACACTCACACGCACACGCACGCACACACTCGAACAGCCACATACGTAATTCATTTCATTCTCTCGCACATTTTTATGTACGAAATTTTATTTCAATTCATTTTAAAATATGTGTAATGCTTCCTTTTTTACTCTTCCTTTTTCTGTTGTTCGCTCATCCTTTCGACTTTTGTGCTTCGATTTTCAATTGCCAGGCGCAGCAGCAGCCTATCCAGCCCGAGCCCGCGCAGCCCCGCACCCCCGCACACCCGCCCACCCACTGACCGTTGCCCACTGGCATTTTCGTGTGCTCAGCAATCCCCCCCCCCCTTCCCACAAAAGGGTGTTTGGGGCTTTTTGGGAGGCTTGTTTCACCCTTCTGCGCTCGCATGCTTCTGCCTGTCCGCGCAATTTTTTCAATAATTAATTTTTTGCGCGTAAATGCAATTTGCATGTAGATGAGCGCTCACACACACACGCACACACACACATGGCCACATGCATATAGTGGTCATATATGTGCTGATATGTACATAAGTCCGTTATATAATAGGGGGCTATTTGTTGGATGGCCGCAGCGTTAAGCACCGTTTTTATTGCCTGCTTTTTGGCGCGCATTGGCGCCATCTCTTTCGCACAATGCGCCGACCAAGGCTCCGTCTCACTCGCACACTTTATGCGTATATTCTGCTTTGCGACAGTCTGTACTTTTTTTTATAATTATTTTTTAAGCGGCATTACTCGAGAATTATATAGAGTGTATTTTAACTGGGCTCCAAAACTATGGGATTGTCTGTTCCGGGGCATTATCATAAAAATATTTTATTACCAGGCGCAATTAAATTGATAAGAAATTCATGCATGAACTAAGAATTCTTATAAAAAATGAGCATCTTGTACTCCAATAAATAAAAGTCAATATGTTAAGCGCAATAATACTCCAAAGTATAAATTTAAAATTTGTTTTGCATTTTGATAACAAACTAAGAGAAACAGTGTATGAAACTCTGCTACAGTTAGTTAGTTAGATAGTTACATTAAGATACAAATTTATCTAAATTACAAAGCGAAATTATTACGTTCTCTTGAACCTTATAAACCTTATTAACCGTGTAAACAGGTTTACGGTATTAATCAAAATCTTTAACAAACAGTATTTAACTTTGATGATAAGGATATGCTCCAATATATTAAGACCGGTTACCTGATGTTACCCGGCATTGCTCAGTCCATATATATACATCAATATAATACTCTTTGATAGCCAATTTGATTATTTCCGTAATACTGTAATTCTGTTTATAAGGTTTACAACATAATCCTGTCTATAAGGCTTACAAGATATGATTAAGACTGAATAATGTGGCCAAAAAGAATTTTATCGAACTTTCCCTAGACACCCCTCAAATCTCCTAAGAATAACATATGAGGATACTTAAGAACAAGTTTGAAGGCTCATCGCATGAAATATGTTTATGCTTCATATAATTATTTCCAACCAATTGTTTTCAATGTGCAATTGGATTTTTTAGAACCCCGCCTATATTAACGTAACTATATGCTACTAAAACTGTGCTTTAGGTCTCAGAATGGGCAATCAATCAACAAGCAATCAGTCAGTTAGCATAAGGAGTTGTATGCATGTGATCTACCCTGGTAAAATTGTCCATATTGAAACTTTTGCTTCAATTAAGAAGGGTTCCTCGTCTTGAATCTTAACTTTAATAAACACTTACCAAAATGTGTTATCCCAAACTGCGTTTTTTAGCTGTTGTCTGTAATTCCTGATCCAAGTGGGTTTTCAAATGACTCAAAACTGTGTCCGTGGGGAATGTTGTTAATTTTAGTTTGGCCCAAAAACTGTTTGTTTTTAAATTCTCAAATATGCTTTTTGTGTGTGTTGGTTTTCAATTGAATTCCTTTTTTTGTTGTGTTTTATTTTATCATAAATGTAATATAATTAAATGTATAGTTTAAAACGTTTTTTTGTTTATAAGTTTTTTATCTGAATGTGTTTTTTTATTTTGTTTTTGTTTTTGTTTTATTTGCTTTCTGCACTACGAATAATTAATTACTTTGATTTTTGGAAAATTGTTTTTACATGTTACTTTTTTGTTTTTGTTTTTGTGGTTTTTTTTTCTGGGTTTTCTTAGGTTTTGCCTGCTTTTTGCCACGATATGAATATTTTTGCCTTTAGTTTAGATTGTTTTTAATACACTCGAGAGATATATTGCGTACATACATATATATATATATATATGTATATGTATATGTATAATACCTCAAACTGTCTCGTGCTTTGCTTAGCCAAAAAACACACACATTAAATGGGTTTTGCGCAACATTGGCACACAATAAATTTTATTTGTTTTTTTTTTGTTTGTTTTTAACTTTTTTCTCCCTCTTTTCTTTAGCTTCTTCTTACTTGCTCTGCACTGAACACACACGAAATGTTTAATACTCTTTCTGCTGCTTGTTTTGATCGCTTTTTGTTTGATCGCTTCAAATTGTTCACCTTTTTGTTTTCATCAAAGTTTTTAAAATTGTTTGTATTTTTTTTCTCTTTGCTTCTTTTAAGCTTTGCTCCCAGACTTTTTCAGAACATTTTTGTTGTTTTACGAACGTAAATTTAAAGACGAAAAGACGAAAATTGAAACCGTAACAAAAAAGTTCAATTTGTTTAACGACAAAAATTGTGTATTTTATTTATTTTCTGTAACTCTTTAATTTTTGTTTAGATTTTTGTTAATATTTTGTAATTTGTGTTTTACAGTTCGTTTGAATGAGACACAAAAAATTTAACAAATTTTGGCTATTTCTTTTTTTTTTTTATTTTGTTATTGGTTTTGCTTTTGGCTTTGGAATTTGACTTTTGATTTTTCACTTCTTTTTTCGGTTTTCGGTTTTCTGTTTTCGTTGCTATTTTCTATTTTTGTTAATCTGTTCCTGTTGCTGTTTTTCTTGGTTGTTCGGTTTCGGTTGCTGTTTTGTTATCGGTTTATCGGTCTATCGGTTTATCGGTTTATTGGCGTTTTTTGTAGTTTTTGGTGTTTTAAGGCTATTTCGGTTTCGTTTCGATTTGTTGCTATTTCTGTTGCTTTGCTATATTTTTAGTTGTTGTTGGTTGTTTGTTGTTTGTTGCTTGTTGGATTGGTTTATTGGTTGTGTTTGTGTTTGGTTTTATTTCTGTTTTGTTGCGCTTTGATTTTTGTTTTTGATTTATAGTTATTATTATTTCGTTTACAGTTACGTTTAGTTTGTTTTCTTTTTTGCTTTTATGGTTACAATTCGCTTGCTATTATTGTGTTCTTTTCTTTTACTTTTATATTTCTGCTTTTATTTTGTTTAATTATTATTTGTAATTGTTGTTGCTTTTATTGTTGCTGTTGTTTGTTGTCGGTTGGTTGTTTGTTGTTGCAGTGGTTGTAGTTGTTGTTGTTTTTGTTGTGTTGTTGTTGTTGTTGTTGTAGTATTCCAAATTTTGTTGTGAATTTTGTTTGTTAAATTTTGAGAAACTAACTAAAAATCACTTTTTATTTTCGCTTAAAACTGAAAGTTAACTTTAATTTTCTGCTATTTTTTTTTCTATTTCCCGTTTTATGATGTTTGTTGTTGTATAATTTTTGTTTTTTTTTTTTTTGTTTTTTAAATTATATACAAATTAATTGATAGAATGATTCAAATAAATTAAAAGTTATTAACTGATTGCACATGAGTTGTTTAATTATATTGTTATTATTACATTTGTAATTGTTATTATGATGACTTGTCGTAGTATTATATAATTATTTATTATTATTATTGTTATTTTTATTTTAATTAACAAAACAATATTTTAATAAGTATCAACAACGTTTTAACGTAATCTTTAAAAATGTTCCAAACAGTCAAAAAGCACCTGTGATAAAAAAGTTGAAGAAAACATAAAACGATTAGCGAAAATTACAAATTAGTTAAGTGTTATTTAGACAAAAATGCAGATCATAAAAAATCTTTTACTTTTAATTCTGTGCACTTTTATCAGCTATAACAACGTAAAAGCCGTCGGCAATTGGACAAAACCACAGTGGGCCGACGGCACTTGGGCAAAGTATTTTAATGATAACAGATTCAATTATTATTTGATAATAATTATTGAATTAGCCAAAAACGGGTTCAATACCCAATGCAAATAATCGTGTATTATCGCAATCAATATCATTTAGTTCATCAACATGCTTTGCCTCACTTCCTGTTAGACACGCACAACTACAACCACAGACAACCGGCCGCTTTACAGCCCACCCCGCCCATTACATATAAACAACTTCAGCAGTAAGCACAATAGACGAACCTAACCCCAGACACACGCATTGTCTAAGCTCGGCGCGCGAGCGACAGCACGCGAATGTCGAAGTGGAAGAGAGTGGAAGAGAGCGCAAAAGCGCCAACGGCAGGACTGCGGCATAGACAACAACAAGCAATCGAGTAGGGAAATTCAAAACTAAAACGAACACACAAAATTTTCAAGTTCAAAACGCCGCTGTTTGCCACGGCGAGGGGGTGCGGCTGGAGTGTGGAGTTTGCAGTGTGGGCGGCGGTGCCTTGAGTGGCCAAATAACAAATAGCAAACAAATAAAGCATTCCATTACGGTAAAAGTGGCAGCAGAAGTCGCCAAAAATAGTGATACAATCTAATGCTGCAAAACAAAGAGCAACTTAGACGCGCGACGTCAACGCGCTGCCGCCGGCGACTGCAGCGGCATCGGCAAATGCAGAGTATACTTAGAGCCACAAATACAAAGGCACACGAATCTGTCAGCTAAAGAGCGCATTTACATTTGGGCACAAAATGAATCAAGCGATTAGATGACGTACAATGGAAGAAGTAAAATCAGCAATAAAAATACATGCACACATACATACATACATACGTATTGGAAAAGTTCATATAAATGGACAAAAATTGCCGAACCGCAACGATAGTCAATACTCCCCACGAATAGGTACTCAATCAATCCGTTAAAATACATACATATGTATGTCTGTACATATACATGTGCATACATATGTGTTTTGTCATTAATTGAAACTGTTTTCTGTACTTATTTTTAGAACTCTCTCTCTCTCTCTCTCTTGTTTCAACTTGTGTAGCACATTTGCCAAACAACAAATACTTATTTTTGGTACTTTTGTATGCTGAATTGCATTCACGGATAATTGTTTTAATCACTTTCTATGCTCTGACACTTTTGTATATAGTTTTATAAGTTGTACAGTTAATTAAATAACACTTTTATAAAATTATATGATTAAACTCTATACACATTTATGCATACATTATATATGTACTTCTTTAATTGATATTTTTTGATTGTTAAATGTATTGTTTTAAAGAATTTCATTTTCGCAAAAACTGTATTCCTTAAAAGTAACTAGTTTTATGCTCCTGCATTTTAAACATATGTACATATATATTGCGTATTTATGTGTGTATATATGTATATAGAGCTGTAGATCACTTCAGTAATTTATTTTGCACTCATGAAATGTGGACACACTCAAGTCTTTAGGCTCAATGGAATATTGATACTGTTATATTTTACACATTCATACATACAACATATTAAAAGTTGCTTAGCAGCCTTTTTACGTTTGAATATTTTAACTTTTTTATGCACACATGTACATATGTATGTATATTTGGGTCTGAGTACTTTTTCCCTTTTACTGTAAATTCCACAAAGTTTACTTTAAGTTTTATGTGAGAATGGTGTTAAATTCACCGTTCGCATTATCACAACTGTTAGACTTCGTTGTTAAATAAATGTATCACCATTTCATCTATTCCACTATTCGTTTGCTTTGTTAAGTATCCTGTACACCCACATTCACAAGGCCGCAACGCACAGAAGCGTCTCCGAGACATGAAATTCGCAATAAAACATCCTTAGAGATTCATTTTTCGCCACTTCTGTTATTTTTTTAGACGCCCCACACGCACACACCCACACATACACTCGAATATATTTATATATGTGGATATATCTACACGCAAGTGTAAGACGAACGAAACAAAACACACAGTAAATAAAAATAATGGAAACAACACGACGAGACACAAGCGAAAAAGGTAGGAAGTGTTCTGCGTATGTATGTATGTATGTGAGTATCCCAACTGAAGCTGATGTATCGGCATCTCGGCAGACGCACAGAAGGCGCAAAAGACGAGAAATTGGACGGCATGAAGCGGAATCAGAAGAAGATGCAGACAGCAGACACAGATAATCAGAACACAGAACAAAGCGAAGACGAATTTAGCGCGAAAATTGAAGTTGAAAAGTTTGCGCGACGCGCGCTCCACGATACGCACCGAAAACGGCCAAAAAGATGAATATGTGCAAAAATCTTTTGCATACGCTCAAGAACCCCATGAAAACGAACTGCCAAGCCAAGCAGAGACGCTGACGTTGACGCTGGCAGCGACCGCGACGCCAACAACGACCGCAACTGGGAGAGCAAAAGAAATGGAAAAATACAAAAAAAATTAAATGCTGGCGGGGGTGTGTTGGGGGCGGCAACAACAGCAGCGACAGAGACTTTGAAAGAGCTTTTTACAGACGCGCGCGCTCAGACCACAAAAACGAAACGAAATGAAACGAAGCGAACGCAAAAAGACGATGATGACGACAACCACGACAGCAGCGACGACGCTGCTGCGGCCCCCCACTAGACACACCGATACACACAATAAGAGAGGCGAGAGCGCCAAGACTTGACACTGTATGTGTGCATGTGAGAGAGCACAGACAAAGGCAAGCAAAGCGAATAAAAAGCATCGACGAAAAAAGTTTGCAAAAAGCAACTTGGAGGTGTGTGCATGCGATGTATGTATCGGTGCCTGTGTGTGTGTATGTATAACAGATGGATCTGTATTGGTATCTCGCTGTGCGTGCTTGTCGCGCGACTGCTTCTGCTGACGCGCGC